TTCACTGTCTTGGAAAATCCTGCCTTATCCCAGAAGACATTGATTTTACCATCAGTGGTGGTAGGTCCTGTTTTGAAGGATCTCTTGGAGGAATTATTCAACGTGCTGTAGGGTTTAGCTGAGCCAGCCCCAACGACAACCACGTATGTCATGCAGTGAAATCCACCTACACAAGCAACACGGTTAAGTCCAAACACAGACGTGAACGAGTCTTTCATGTCCACATTGAACAGTCCAGATTGAACTGTCGCTGAGGTCTGAGTCTTTGGCGCTGCTGCATTGCCTACTCACGGCTCGATAAAGACTACAGTTGCATATTTTGGGACCTACTCTGGGATTAATGTTCTCGTGCTGGCTCAGATGGGAAATATCAAACAGGCAGTCAGGGAAACTGCAATTGCACAGGCTGTATCACTCCAGCTCTGCCATAGCCAAAGATCAGAGCGAGCTGCCAGTCCCAGAGCTGCGCTTTGATACGCTGCAGACTCTGATAAATTACCTATAGGAAAAGGGAGGATGGATGGTGACCTTGTGACCCGCCACTCAGTCCCGCTTAATCCCTCCAGCCATGTTCTGCAGATGCGGGAAGGTCCCTTGATGTGTGTCTTCAGGAGAGCGAGGATGAAGAAGTTGCTTAAATGCTTGTAACTGTCACAGAAATACAAAGCAAGCAAAATGAGTTGGGTTTTTCAATAGCTAATGTTACCCTGGATTCACTTTGCTTGCAGATTCAGTCAGCGTATATTTATTTCTATCTTAACATTCACTGTGTTGACAGTAATTTTGTTAGGGACAAAATACTACAATCAGAACCACAGTTTCCAGTAAAAGGATGCATTTCATTTGCCGCTTCCCCCCCGGCCCCCGCTATCTTCTCTGCCTCTCACCACCTTGGTCTACATGAAGCAAAATTATTTGAATGAATCGTGCAGAGGCAAGGTAATTTCAGTGCCTGATACTGCAATATTACTGTGCAAAATGACATGTTAGCCTGGTTAATAGATTATTTATTTTCATTAAATATTGATTATCAGTGGCTTATGCTGGCAGGCACTTTCCTGTTTACTGTGCAAGTAGCTATATGCCTACATTCTATTATGGTAGGGTTTTCTTTTTTTTAAGTTAACTGTTCAGTCTCATGAATTTTTATGTTTTGGCACTGACTGGCATCTGCATAGTAATTCTGCCAATAAGTTATGTGAGCATTTCACTAATGCAATTTTATACCTAATGTATTCAAAAATCTGTGGAGCGAATGGGGATGTTTTAACCAAGGGTCCTGCCCTCACTTCACCAGGTAAGCGACCTCAAAAGGCTAGCCCAAATTTTCTGAGGGTTTCCTAAATTGTGTGACCCAACATACTCCTCTGCCTGAAGCCTGGCAATGCTGACCATTGCACAGGCAGCCTTACTGGCATATTAGAAACAAAGATGCGGAATAAGATGTAACAGCAGAGAGAAGTATCTGAGAAATCTTCATTTCTGCCGAATTCATTCAATTAGCACAATGATAAGTAAATGGCGAAGGAAGAGAATTTCTGAGCAGTTTTGTACTGTGGATCCTGTGTATGGTTTTGCATTAGCACCAGCGGCAGAACAAGAAACAATTATAAGGCAAAACTAATCGAATCTCTGCATTGTGAAAGAATTAAATTCAGAATAAACCTCTTTTTTTCTTTTTCCAAAATTAAATATGGCTGGCCTAATGATCCAAGGCAGCACTACAAGTGTGGCTTTGTAAAAAGTAGAGTAAGGTGTTTCAAGGTTTGCAATAGCATAGGAAAACCCACCACTTTTTTTAAAGAAAGACACTCTTATTTTTGCTCATTATCTGTTGCATTTCCTTGCAGCTAGAACTAGTCTGAATTCAGAATTTCCATTGCAAAAATCAGAATGAAATGTCAAAAATTTATCTCACACCAAAACAAAATTAGACATAGCAATGCCAAAAAGCTTTTCATGGAGGTACTGTGTTTGAAATACTGCATTCCAGTAACCTCAAAGTACTTGATAAGGTCAGAACACTTCATTGTGACGTTATCATTTCCAAACTACTCTGAAAAATCAAAACAATAGTGGAAAAAAGTTGGCATCTTGACCTTATGGAGACAAAATGGTATGGGAGCTTTTCATAAAAAAATATTGATGCATGTTATACATTTCCAGAAAATCATTTCAGGGTGAGCAAATGAGAAACTTTTTTGTCAGGAAATGCTTGACTCGTACCAGCTCCATCTGTTCAATGAAATAACTTCCACAGAAAATATTGCTTCCTTAAAATGGCCTCCGCAGTTTTCTTATTCTTTAACTTGGTAAGTCTCAGAGATGTTTGTCAAATTTCGCCTGTAGACTGTGATGAAATAATATCATGGACATGGGGGTTGACATGCTGCAAATATAATAAGGTGAATGTAACTTCTTTTTAAAATGTCAGTATGGCATTTTGAAAAAAACGGATACCTTCATTTTCAGTTAAAATGCGTAACAGCGATTTCTGTTTCCAGAGCCCTAAAAGCAAACGAGCTCATTGTAGGGCAATACGATGATAGTTATTATGAGATTAGAATATAACAATAATCCACTTAAATTATTAACAGCAGGCTAGTACTTCAAAGTGACCCTTGACTTTTATCTTCATAAGAAATAATGGCAATAACATTGTTATTAAAAGGAAAAGAGTTTGAATTTCAATGAAAGCTTATTAGAAAGGTTTTATACGGTTTTGAATATAGATAAACATGTGCAGCATTTCCTTATAGGGAGTGCAAATGGTCAATAGACCCCTAGGGAAATGAAAGAACTCCTCCTGTCAAAACAATGAGAGCACACATTTGCATCAGTATTGAAAACCTGGTAAACAAGTTTTTTTCTAGTGATAGTATTGGGTTGAAAACCTGAACAATGAGATTTTCTGGCACATTCTTGGAACATATTGCACACATGGGAATTAAAATGCATTTTCTCTTTGAATCATAGCATGTGTAAGGGATTTATGTTGTTCAAAGTAAAAATGTAAGTGGACACTAATATCCTAATTCATCAAAGAGTAAGCACAGGCTTAAATCCACCTTTACTTAGCAAAGCTCTTAGGAACGTGTTTACCTGCAAGAATATGCTAGTGGCTAATGAAATCAGCAGTATGTGTCTACAGGTACTGGAAGGGATTAGAAGAAACGTCTAAACTTGTTAAAAAGACATCTGAAGTGGTTCTGTAATTTGTTTCCTGCTACAAATGTCTTTGAAGCCAAAATAAGCACGCGCTGTTTTTTTCTGGGTTTAGAATATACTTGATGCTTCCAGCATTAGTATTTTTATGGTGCTTGAGATTGTGAAATATGCTTCTGTGCTGAATGCACACTTCTATATAAGATGAAGCAGGCTGGGTGTCTTAACTGTTCTAGCTTTCGAACAGCAATGAAATCTAACGAATGGTACTATGGAACTGGTATTAACAGTGTTCTTGGGTCTGTACGGTGTATTTAACAAAAACATTACTTGGCAATTTTGCAGTGAGGAACCTATGCTTCGTAATATGCAACTTCTGTGTTGATTTAGGGTCACATTATCCTAGTGGACGGACTTGTCTTGGAATATTCTTCTCATTTCTGGCGTATTTTGGTGCATGGGTGTGGAAGTTTTTGTTGTTTCTAGCTGAAGCTGTTCTATTTTATGCATTCTGTAAAATAGCTCAGTGAAAAGGCGAGGGAAGTGTAAAATAATAAAGTAGACTGAGGCAAGGGCTGCAGACTTGTCTCCTTCATCCTAAGTGAATTAGCCCTTCAGCTAGAGAGTCTTACACTCTATCTCTGTAATCCACTCCATCAATTAATATTTCGTAAAGCCTTGCAAAGCATAATCACCTCTTCAAGCAAGAACTGAAAGCACCATGCTGTTACCACAGCAGAGCAACCACCATCATTTCTGGCTGCTCCTAAAATGAAGAAGCTACACATTTAAACCAGAAAGGGGCCAGTTTTATACATAGGTGAGTTTTGCGGTCATTGAACAACTAAATAAAAACGGGCATCACTCCCATGTCACCCTGCACTCGGCACAGCTGCGAGGTGATTCTCTGCTCTGCCTTTCTCCTTACTACCCCGTTTGTAATTTCCATGGCATGATAATTCTCAAAGTCAAAGTCATCTATCTGGCTGACCTCCTCAGACTGCCTATATTCGTAATGCTATTAAAAGATGTTACGAAGAGATGAACAGTCCCTCTTTCCAGGACATAGTATTTATAGCGTACCACTAACAGGTAACCCGTGTAGAGCAAGAGGAGTCACTGGAGCCCCGCTCTCCTGGGCTCGATGCGCACTTGGCAATATTCGCATGTTCTTGGAAAAGGAGAACTCGGGGGACACAGAAGGCAAGCCCGGGGCCCAGCGCCAGGCAAAATCTTTCATTACCGCAACCGCACATTGCCTAGAAAATGCAGCATATGCCCGTGTGACATTTCCACGACACCAAGTGCACCATAGGACAACAGCTCAGGTTACCAGTCTTTAGAAGGAGATTCTGGAGCTGTGCCACTTGGCAGACTTTCAGGCATCTGAAAGACTTTCTGGGAAACGCGCTTTCCCGGGTAAAACCACAGGTCAGAGCCTCATCGCCTCAGCACGGCGGGGCAGATCTGGTTATTCCCGGCAGACCCACCCGCAGCTGGAGGAAACTATGTGCTTAGTACAACGTGGGGTGGCACAAAACATTTAGGCAGCCGTTAGCACAACTCTCGAAACAGCCGGTGATGGTGGGAACCGGGGGGGGCCCTCAGCGTTTTGCTCCCCGAAACTGACTCTGGGGAGCGCGGACCGCAAGCCCTCCCGCGGGCGGCGGGGATGGCAGGGCAGGGGTGCCGGGGCGCGGACGCCCCG